ACAAAGATGTGCGATCAACTGAGGCTCAGAATATACATTAGAAATGAGTCTCAGCTACCACCACATCAAATTTTAGATCAATATCTACAGAACTGACTGAGGCATACTGTTTTAACAAACACAGTTTGGTGTTTTCTAAGGTCAGCTTGCTGTAGTGACCATTTTGAATTGGATTGTCAACCACGGTAAATCAGTTGTATTAGTTGTCAACCTAAGAACTGATTTCTGAAAGTTTCCTTCTAATCTGACCTCTGGTTCACGAGAGACTTTGCTATCAGACACACATAAACACAAACACAGGTAAAACATTATTGCCTGCGTTTGCCCTTTGGTGGTTGGATCCATATATAAAATCCTCCTTGAGAAGCTCATTAAACAAGCTCATGAATTAAATCAAGAGCTGCACAGTGTAGTAAAGGCCCCGGCACACTCCAGCTGAAGCTGAATATTTGACTCGTGGTCATGTGGCATTCGTTTTCTCACAATATTTCATGATCCCTGAGACACAAGGTGCAGAGCTCCTGGGAAACCCCTCCCGCCACAGCGTAGATCACTGTGCGGGTTTCTTCCCAACAGAGTCTCCACTCCATCCCTGCAGCAGCTGTTTGGCCACAAATCTATCACGAAGAGAGCGCCACACTTTTCAGCAGACAGACTCCTCCATACACAACGTCTGCACCATCTCCAGGAGTTTTCGGCCATTTGACTAATTTAGTGTGTTTGAGGAGTCTCACAGATGAATGACCGAGTGCTTTTCCACATCGACAAACACGCCCCCACAAACTTCTGACCAATCAAACAATCCTTGGCGCATACAACTGTGAGAAAAGTTTGTTCTGGGCTTTGTGTTGAGAAGAAGCAGGCGAAGATGCTCTGAGAACAAAATGACACGATTTTCGTCAAGAAACTACAACAACGAGAGAGGCCTGTTGCAATAAACAATAAATCAATTAATCGTATGATAAATGAAAATTATCAACCTTATTTTCATTTATCAACTTTATCATTTCTTCGTCTCTCTCTTTCTACTGAAGACACTGGATGACAAAAGACTCAACTCTGGTGCTCTTCACTGACCCCTCCCTTTCTTTTTTCTCTATAAAATCTGTTTTAATGGTCCAAGATCACGTTTTTGGATCGTTAAAAGCAGCTAAACTAAGAAGCTAAGTTAACAGGCAAAACTCGGGGGGGAAAAAACCTCCGTCTTGTCAAATATCTGAAATTCATGGTTGAAACCTGTGCCTTTGTGTAAAAAGTTGTTTTTCTCTGCAAAAAGAAGCTGAGAACTTGTTTACAGATTTTTTATTAAAAGCTTTGTGTGACAAATGCTATGCTAAAGAGCTCAAACCACACTGAGTGTCCACAACTGTGAGAACTGAAAAACAGGAACGAGAGACAACCCATGTCATGTCAAGGGGCCTTCCTCCCATTTTTCTTAAAGAGACACGCTGCTCGCTCCCTCACTATCCATCTTTCTGTTCAAACAGTCTTATACTGCCATCCAGTGGTCAAAAAAGGTATTACACACAAAAATTAACCAACATTTCTTCTTAAATCTGACAATTACAATTATTGTTAAATTTCAAACAATATTATCGTTTATCGCAATAATTTCCGAGACAATTAATCGCCCAGCAAATTTTTTTATTGTGACAGGCCTAAACGAGAGCTGATTTCATGTCTTCAGATGGATGCAGGACCCTTATGAGACACATCTTTGACTGATTGGACACTGCCTTCTTCCATGACTCACCTCTACTACAGATGTGTAGATCTGGAGTAGGTGCTCCTCTCCTGCTACCTGTCGGATGCTGATCTTGCAGGAGAGCTGAGATGAGGAGAGGCTGTATCGCTCCAAATAGAAGGCACACTGCAGGGGACTTTGGTTCCCGGCCCACACCTGAGAAAAGGAGAACTCCTGCAGGGAAGGAACAGACGGAGGGCGGACAGGAAGAATATGGTGATGGAAGGTTCAGGCTGCAGCAGCAGAGACACTCATTAAATCCTGCTGAAGACATTTGGTTTGTTGAATCATCCACCCAGCTCTGCTGTTCCCATGTTTAATTAGCAGTGAGTGAGTGGCTTCGTTAGCCAATCAATGTTGGTACCTAATCAAGAAAGTTCAGCAGTCACAAGAATAAACCTGCAGGTGCTGGAAACCTTTGAGCAGAACTGATTCGTGGAAACATCTGTACCAACATTTTGAGGGAAAACCAAAGAATAAGGCACGTTGTAAACATTTAAAATCATGTTTGGAAGAAAATAAAAACAACAACAAACCCATACAAACCAGCAATACTAACGACAACTAATATTTAACTACTGGGCTAAGGTTTAGTTTATGAACTTAATAATTCTAATTATAACTGTTTCTTAAAGATGACTTGGCCAGATGCAGTTCATCAGCTGGGAGTTTCTGAAGTCCTAACACTTTTCGTTTTCTCTTCCACTCGTCCACGTTCCTCATGTTTATGCACCGATGCACAATGTGCTGTCATTTTCAGGTACAACAACTAAAACAATTATGCAAAAGTAGCCAAGGCAAAACAAACAAACAAAACTTTAAATAATAAGTAAATCCGTAATCGTCAGGAGAGGTTGATCAAAACCATGTTTAGAGATTAATAATAATAATAATGATAATGATAATGATGATAATAATAATAATAATAATAATAATAATAATAATAATAATAATAATAATAATAATAATAATAATAATAATA